CCGTCCTTGATCTCCAGATATTATAAAGAGGTTTTCACATGTGGCGGAGTAGCAAACGTGAATGGTCTGCCGGTCTGGTGGATCAGACCTCTTCTATTTTAGAGAATTGTAATGTGCGGGCCTTTTTTTGTGCAGACTATTCCCTGAGGCGGTCAAATAAGCTGTGTTTTCGATAGCTCTGGATAAATCACTTGGCCTTGATGGTTTCAACTCGACTTTTTGTCAACACTTTTGGCTAGAAATTGGCAAAGGACATTAGTGGCTTTGTGCTTCAATTCATTGCATCCGGTCGTGGAGCTTCCCTCCAGGACAGTACTATTTTCTTAACCCCTAAAGTTGAACCCCCCCCCCCCCCCCCACTTGCACAAGTGATCTACGCCTCATCGCCTTGTGCAACATCAACATACTACAAAATAGTTACATAACTAGTTGCCAATAGGTTGAAGAAGGTTCTGATGTATCAGTGATACCTAGAGTGCTTTTATACCAAGCAAGCTAATCACCGATAATGTTTTAATAGCTTCCGAGGTGGTCCGTTACTTTTTTTGAAAGGAAGGTGGTCCATTACTTAAACCATGAAAGGGAGGGTTCCACTAGCGGGTGTGCCCTAAAAGTAGCCAAGGCAAAGGCTTACGATAAAATGAAAATTTTCTTCACGACATCATGATCCTAATGGGCTTCGATAGGTACAAGCCCATATAACACAACAGAGTTGCATATATAATCAAAATTTGAAGTCTGATATATAATACTTTATAGTATAAATGTAATACTTTATAACAAAAATATAATAAACAGTTTGAAAGAAATAAAATAATAATATAAAAGAATTGCATATATAATCAATACTTTTATATATATATATATATATATATATATATATATATATATATATATATATAGATTAACAATCGTATAGGAACTCATTGTTAGATAGGAACATGAGAACTAATCTAAGCCGTTCATTTAAACCAATCTAAGGTGTTTGTTTTTTTTTTTTTTTTAGTTTTTTTTTTACCGTAGATTAGGATTGAATTGGGCGGCTAGGGGCAGTTTGGTCTATTTACTTTGGCGCGTGTAGGGGTTCGCCTATATTTGTGCGTTTTTTTCGCGTATTGCGCTGAAGAAGCTCTCCGCGCTGAAGAAGCTTTCCGCGTTGTTGGGTGTTTTCGAAAATCTCACTGGACGTTGTCTTGGCCGATTGAAGTCCTCGTCGTCGTCCTTTCCGATCGTTGCTTCCTCTGAGATGGCTGGCGCCGATTGTCGGAACCCTAAGCGCCCACGGCGGTCGACGAGGTTGACCTCTACTCCAGGTCGGTTTTTTCCTTTTTATTTTTTATTTTTTTAATATATATGAGTTGTGTAGTTGTTTGATGCTAGTGTGGGTTTTTTTTAGTTTGATTTTGGTGTTTTTTCGAAGCCGGAGGGATAATATTTGGCTAGGGTTTTCTGGGTTTTGTTGGGTGGTGGTGCCGGGGGACTGTGGTGGTGTTTTGGTGGGATGGCTTTCTATGCCTTTCGGATGGAGGTGGGGTTTGGGGGAGGGGGGGGGGGGGATGGTTTGGCCGAATAGTTGTTCTGCTATTTGTTTGTTTGTTTGTTTGTTTGTTTGTTTTTTTTTTTTTTTTAAACTTGATTCGATATCATCTTTCATTTGTTTTACAATTACGATTGAACAACCGGAATGGTAATCAGTGTGGACGTATCTATGGACTTAGTATAATTAGAGGTGTCAAAATAGGCTGAAACTTGCTAACTAACCCTCACCCACCCTGCGATGGGGTATGTTATGGCCATAGGAAAGATGGCCTGCGGTAATGCCGTTTAATTATATCAAACTTCAGTTGATATGAATCTGGTGAAGTATCAAAACCGTTTTAATCCATAAAATATACTCTGGATTAAATAAAACAAAAGAGGAATGGAGGAAATTTCCAAAAGGTTACAATTTTACAATGTGAGTTCTTGATGTAAAGAGCCTATAGTTAGTCATCAAAGACTTTTCTGGCATCAAAAAGTTCTATGAACAGTGAACTTAGTCGAACCTGACTTGAGGAAGTGTTAACAGCTTTTATTTGGTATATGGTGGGTGCACATTTGCTTGTTTGTTTGTGCCATCTTGGTTTAGTGGGTTTAGTTGATTAGTTTCTGGCTGCTGCATTCTTTATTTCCTTTTTTTTTTTTTTTTATATGGCCTCCGTGTTTCTAATTGCGTGTTTTTTTGTTCTTGTTTGGTGTAATGCATTGTTTGGTTTATCCATATCATTAAGTTAACCTTGTTTCATTGTGCTGTTTTTGTGGTTGCAGAAAGATTTGTTGTCTGTGTTCCTCGATGATGAGGTTGATTTGCGATATGAGGCTGTTGTAAGGAGGATTATCCCGAGAAGGATGCAGATGCGTTGGCGTGATCCTCGTAACAAAGTGGATTGTGGGGTATTTGCAATGCGACATATGGAGTCTTTTTTGGGCCAATCGGTGAATGCATGAGATTGTGGTCTACAGAGGGGTGATACTAGGGGTCTTGAGTTGTTGAGGATGTCTTATATGCGGCAAATTTTGGCGAATGAGATTAATCCTCACCATTCGAAGAACATTCGGAGTGTAGTCCAATACCATGATATAATCGAACAAAGATAGTTTATGCTTTACGTTTCTTAGCAACGAGTTGATTAGTAGTTTAGGTTTGTTCGCTTGGTTATGTTCGGTGAATATGTTTGTTGTTACCGTGGCCTTTTTTAATTTATATTGTTTTTCTGCGTCTATTTTTCCGTTACGAGTGTTGGTTGATTCTGCCGTTACATGATGGCACACAAATTGTTAACCCAGTGCACATGAGCTTTAGGGCACCATCCGTGCTATGACACTAGTCAGCACACTTCATGCTTGTACAGTAGTTGAACTCATGTGTATACCAACTAAACTTTGCTCTGTAGATCTGTTATGGCTCAGTCAAAACATAATGGCACATACTGTTGAATGTGCGGGCACATAGAGTGTGGCTACAAGTATACAGCACGTTATGGCACACGAGTTTGGTATCCGGTGCACACAATACACTATTTACAATTCTTGGTGGTTGCATTTGGTCGATTGGCACACACACGTATTCTCGTGTGCCTACTATTAGTGTTTCCGTATACGAATTTTCTATTTTTCTTGGTGTTTACTCTTCATTTATGAGTGGTGCTTGTTTTGTCCAGTCCCACCGAGCACTCTGGCAGACGTAGATTTATGCAATATCACAACTACTGTAGTTTTGGCTGCTATGGCAGTCTGGCCATAATGGCACATACTGTTGACTATGGTTGCACATATGGTGTGGCTACAACAATACAGCAGGCGTGATGGCACTCAAGTTTGGTGTCGAGTGCACACGTTCTAGTATTAACAATTCTTGGTGGTTGCATTTGGCATATTGGCACACGCGTGTGTTTTCGTGTGCACAGTATTATCTCTGTTCCTTGGTTAGCGTATTAGGCTCGGTCATGTGGGTATGTGCGGTGAATATGTTCCTTATTAGTGTTTCTGTATAGAATTTTCTATTTTTCTTGGTGCTTACTCTTCATATATGAGTGGTGGTTGTTTTGGCCAGTCCGACCGATCACTCTGGCACACGTAGTTTTGTTCAAGAGCACCACAAGTTTAGGTTTGGCCTTACTGGTCGTTTTGGGACGGTCTGACCATAATGGCACATACTGTTGAATGTGCTGGCACATAGGGTGTGGCTACAACTATACAGCACGTTATGGCACACAAGTTTGGTATCCAGTGCACACATGACAGTATTAACAATTCTTGGTGGTTGCATTTGGCAGATTGGCACACACACGTATTCTCGTGTGCACACTATTATCTCTGTTCCTTGTTTATCGTATCAGTCTCGGTCATGTGGGTCTGTGCGGTGAATATGTTCCTTATAAGTGTTTCCGTATACGAATTGTCTATTTTTCTGGGTGATTACTCTTCATTTATGAATGGTGCTTGTTTTGCCCAGTCCCACCGACCACTTTGGCACACGTAGATTCACGCAACAGGACAACTACTGTAGTTGTGGCCACGTTGGCACGGTCTGGCCATAATGGCACATACTGTTGAATGTTCTGGCACGTAGGGTGTGGTTACGTCAACACAACACGTTATGGCACACACGTTTGGTATCCAGTGCACACAAGACAGTATTAACTTTAGTTTTGGCCGTCAAGTTTGGTTTAGCACGGTCTGGCCATAATGGCACACACTGTTGAATGGGCGTGCACATAGGGTGTGGTAACAACCATACAGCACGTGATGGCACACAAGTTTGGTATCCAGTGCACAAGTTCTAGGAGTAACCATTCTTGGTAGGTGTATTTAGCAGAATGACACACACGTGTATTCTCGTGTGCACACTGTTATATCTGTTCCTTGATTAGCGTATCATCCTCGGTCATGTGGGTATGTGCGGTGAATATGTTCGTTTTTATTGTTTATGTATTCTAATTTTCTATTTTTTTGGGTGGTTACTCTTCATTTATGAGTCGAGGTTGTTTTGGCCAGTTCTACTGACCACTCTGGCACACGTTGTTTTACGCGATAGCACAACAACTGTTGTTTTGTCCTTAACGACCGCTTTGGCACGGTCTGACCATAGTGGCACATACTCTTGACTGTGCGTGATACCGAGGGGGTGGCTACAAGTATACAGCACGTGATGGCACACAAGTTTGGTATCCGGGGCACACGTTCTAGTATTAACAATTGTTGGTGGTTGCATTTTGCATAATGGCACACATGTGTATTCTCATGTGCACACTCTGTTTAATCGAATGACTCGGTCCGCAATGGCTATTTTAAGACAGATTGAATTAATCGATTCACATGAACGCATATATTGCTATGATAAATGGAGTGGGTAGCTAGTTATCTGTACACAAATACATTATTAAAGAATGTGAATAAAATAATTGGCAGTACATCAGTGAGGCACACGGTCCTATTCTCAAGTGCACAGTACAGTTTTCCTACTTGTGGCCTGTTGTCTTCGTCCGTAACTCGCAGTTGCGACTATCATGGTGTCTGTATGTGTTGCATGTCCGGCACTTCCTTACCTCCTTGGCTGCTAGTGTTGATGCAATCTCCTTTGTTGATTTGAAACGCTTACCGGAACCCTTGTTTTTAGCAATTGCAGGGGGGTGAACCTTGATGTTTGGTGATGAGGTAGACCCACAGAAGCCACGTATGATGTCAGTTTTTGATGCTCTGGTTTCGTCCTGGGGTATGCTTTCTGCTGATTTCTCTCTGTGTGCTTTTAGTAGGTGTGCCAGCTCAGTTATTTTGTCGTTATTACCGTATGCATACCCAACACACTTGAAGAACTCGTCAAATACGGTCCCCATTCTTGTAGCCCCGTCGATGTGTTCAGTCGAACCATGCTGGTTGGTGTTTGCGTAGATCTGCGTGTGATGCCAGCATGTGTTGCGTGACCATCGTGGTAAGATATACTGGCTCGGTATTCGCTCCAGATTTGCAGCCTTGAATGCCAAGAACACATGTTTGCGCTGTATCCCAATCCTATGGAACATCTTGCATGTGCATTGTACTGTTCTATTTGTAGAATTGTACTCCACTGAATATGTCGACTTGTTTGTGTCCTCTATATCAAATTTGAGGGTGCATCCTTCATTTGTTTTCTTAACAACTTGGGATGAGAAGCACGCGTCGACTATTTCGTTGTGCCAGGAGAGATGTTGATAACACAGCCTGTTGAGCAGGGTTCATCTGTAGAGGAGTGAATAGTTATTAATACAAAATGTTGGAAATCGATTAGGATCTTAGATTTGAGGCATTTTGCACTCCTATTGTGGGGTTTTGACCAGTTTGGCACATTCGATAACACGTAGTGGCACACACGGCATCTGGGGCACATATTTGGGTTTCATCCCTAATTGGCATGTATATGAGCACATATGTGCACACATGGTACTCTGTAATAACGAGAGTAGGGTACGTACAATGCTCCGGAATTGTACATTTAAATTAGTCGGCACACAGCAGGAAAAACACCAAAATCAAACTAAAAAAACCCACACTAGCATCAAACAACTACACAAGTCATATATATTAAAAAAAAAAAAAAAGCGAAAACCATCGTCGCCAAAGAAAAGGAATTTCCGTCTGTGCACTTTAGTGCCTCAGGGTGTGCCGTTCGACTCATCTGCTGGCTTGCATACCAGTAAACAACAGTCCAAATTCTATTTAATTCAACAGTCGCATGATAAACACCGTAATAGGGTTTCAGGGGACTTACTTTCGTTGTTGTTTGTTGCCGCCATTGTCTCCGGTGAGTTTCTTCGTCGTTCCACGTAGTTTGCCGGGGTTAGGTGTCGTGTTCGTAATTCGCAGGCGGACGGGTGTAGCGCTGGAGAGCGTTGAATTGGTGTCCGTTTGTATCGTTGAATTAGAGTCCCAGTGAATTCCTTCTTGTTGGCCTAAATTCTAGGGATCTAGTCAATTCTTTTATTTAAGTCAAAATTATTAGGGTGCTAAAATTACTCTTTAAACCTTTTGAATCTTTTATATTAATAATTAATTATCTTAGATCCAAAGGCTGGGATGGGTTCTTATGTTCTCACCTATTGAGTGGTTCCTACTTGAAGGCCACCTTTTATATATATATATATATATATATATATATATATATATATATATATATATATATATATATATATATATGAATGTTATTGCGGCTTCACGAAATGGATAGCTTGCTCAGTATTGATCTTATTATGTTATGCGTCACTATACTCTCTTACAAGGTCCTGGTAAACAGAGAACTTACTGAGCCTATTATTTCAACCCGTGGATTGAGGCAAGGCAATTGACTCTCGCATTATCTCTTTATTTTGTGTGCTGAGGGCCTCTCTCATCTTATGGAGGATGTTAGTCTATTACTAATGGGTTGTGGACGGCTTGCAAGGTTAGTAGGGGTGCACCAGATATTTCCCACCTATTCTTTGCATATGACAAGCCTATCTTATTATTCTTTAAGGCTACTATGGAGGAGGCTAATAGAGTCAAGTGATGTCTCAATGCCTACGAGGTCATGTCGTCAGTTAGTTAATTTCTCTAAATCTAGTGTTATGTTCAAGCGTAATACCTAGGAAGCCATGCGCCTAGCCGTTACGTCCACCCTTGGGATTTGTATGGCTCCGAGCATCTGTAAGAGCATCCACACTAGTGGATAATGTGGAGTTATTTCAATTTGCTTTCTTCCCATGTAGAGATAATAACTAATGTGGAGGGGAGATAATTTAGAAATAGTTGTCCTGCAAGTGTAGGCATAATGTCAGAAAATTTAAAACAAAAAAAAAAAAAAAAAAAAAGAAGAAGAAGCAAGGCTGTGCGCGTTTCGCGCACAACCTGGGCAAAAGTCGGGCGCGTGCACTGCACGCGCCAGTCGGCGCGCCTGACGCGTCTGATTACTTTTTTTTTTTTTTTTTTTAAATTTTTGTTTTGTTTTGTTTTTTCTTTTTTTTTTCTCCCCTCCCACATTCTCTTTCCTAATCACTCTTACATTATCCCCTCATTCTCCCCAACCAATGTGGATGCTCTAAATACTTGGTAACCGTTAATTAACTGAAAATTTTTAGAAATTAAAAAATAGAAAAGAGAAAATATGTTTACTAGCACAGTTTTTCATTTTAAAAACTGAAAATAATTTTTTAATTTTTTTCTAAAAAAACTAAAACACCCTTAAAAACTGTTTTCTAAATACAAAACAGAATCATCTATCATCTATTTAGTTATATGTCACTACAACCACATTACTATGATTACATTCATTATCATCTTATTTTACTTATCACTATCTTCTATCTTTTCTACTTACTTTACTTATTTAAACATAAGTTATTTGCTTACACATTAAAGTTAGACATTATTTATATTATCAAACTTAAGAATTAAACTCTATATAATATTTTAGATTTTGATTGAGCTCAATAGATTATTAGTTCGAATATTTTTTAATTATGTTACATCGTAATACAAGTTCGGTCCAGATATCGGATATTGAAATCTCATATATATTAGAATTCAATGTAAAAGATATATATTCGTATACATGTCATTCAAATGAATATATCTAAAAAAAATATTTTAAATATTAGCTCAAAAAATATTAATATTATCTAAACTAAATTTTAGGTGAACTTAGTAGGTTATTGGTTCGGATATATTTTTTTTAGTTATTATGTTATATACAGATATAAATTTTGTTCAATTATCAATGTAAAAATCTTACATATATTAGACTTAAAAGTAAAAAAAAAAAATCCATTTAAACCAAACCTATGTAAAAATATTTTAAATATAAGATTTAAAAATCACTTGAAATTAAACTTGTTTTAATTTTATAACGTTAATCTAAAAAAAATAAATTTTAAAAAATAAGTGGTAGTAAACAAGTTTTCTAAACACAAAACAGAAAATAAGAACTGAAAAATTAGAAAATAGAAAACAGAGAACAATTTTCTGTTAGTAAATGGACACCTGAATTTTTCTATTGGGATTGGAAGGAATTAAAAAAAAAAAAAGAGGTATTTTCCGTTATTGAGGCTCGCCTGAGACAAAAAATAGAATGATTGGGAAAATAAATTTTGTGAAGAGCAGGAAGTTCTCTTGCACTCCCTATTTTAACTTACCATGAGTATTTACAATCATTATTGTGTGGACCATGGTCCATACAAGTTGTATGGACCATATTTGTATACTGTAAAATAATGTACGTTTAGTACAAAAATAATGTATATTGTATTCAGGGGATGTATATTATTTTTGTAATGAGTACATTATATTGTATAATGTACATACAATAAAAAATAATATACATTTTATTATGATCCACATAACACGATAATTTGCCGAAAAATAATATATATTTTATTATGATCCACATAACACGATAATTTGCCGAATGCGATATGAGGAATAAATTAAATACCTTGTTGAAGTGACTTGCATGCTTAGCTTGCTGCACACACGAATTGGGATAGATTTGACGAATTTCACGTACGTAACGACTATAAATGCAGACCACTTACTCAAAAAAGTGTGTTGTTCTCATGTTTTGCAAGTAAGGATACATTTTGAAAGTAAGAAAATGACTTCTAAAACATAAGTCATTTTTTATAAAATATTTTCCTTTCTCGTGTTTGGTTATACAGTAGAAAACTGTCTTTGTGTGTTTGATTTATTTTTTGGAAAATGAGGTAGAATTGTATAATTAAACATTTTATATAATTAATTACTTTGTTTAAACTATAAAAATATTTATAATAATATTACAAATAATAATATTTATTTTTTAAAATCAAATAATATTATTTATTAATAAATAAATAAAAAACGACGGGGACCAGAGAGCAATTCTGAAACCAGAGAGTACCCAAGTTAATATAGACAGTAATACGAATTATACCTGAAAAAGTAAATTGCATAAGGAAATCAAACTACTCGAGCTAGCCCTTTAGGCCTGGCTGTCGGGTTACTAAAAAAAACTCCCAAAAACTCAATTCACATGTTCTGATGCAATTCTTGTATAGCCGTGTTTGTAATCAATTTTTCTATGATATCAGTGATGATGTCAGCGTTACGCCAGCTAAGTTAACAGTTATATTAACACCTTAATTATTAACTTAATTGTACTAATTTTTAAAAGTACAATGACTCAATTGAACAAAGTTATAGTAGAAGAACTAAATTGAAGAAAACACTATAATACAAGGAACTTATTGCTATTTTTACCTTTATATTTATATGTACAGCTTTGAACTTGAGTGTTAAGTGGTTTGTGGAGTTTGAATTCTTGCATTATGTTATTGAGTTAAAATTTGAAAATAGAGATTATCATTAAATGATGCTTTTATTTATATTTGTTAATGTAAATGTGCTAGTTTGTGAAAATTAAAATTTTAGTCTATTAATTTTAAAATGTCAAAAATCATAATTGAGCTCGTCTAAAAAAAAAAAAAATCCAATAACCTCAAGTTTTAGTGTTAGGGGTTAAAAAAATTTAGCCTAATTAGCTCGAACCAATTTGTCCAATTGGCCGAAATTATGCGGACAGACCCAATTGACATTATATATTTAGATTCCTTTATTTTTTCATTTGTTTGTAACAATAATATATATATATATATATATATATATATATATATATATATATATATATATATATATATATATATATATATATATATATATATATATTTATTTATTTATTTATTAACTTTTTCATTATATATATTAGACATTTAGACCAATTAATTGAAAACAAATAAATGATAGCGAGAGAAGTATACAAACATTGAGAAAAGAATAAAAATAGTACCCAATTTCACGAAACATTATAAGTATTTTGGAGTTGTAAACATTATAAGTATTTTGCAGATTTAATTTATTTCCTTATAACTATTTGCTGGCTAAGATCACAAAGTAGTAGTTTATCCAATGTATGCCGGCTAAGATTACAAAGCAGTAGTTTACTATATGTACACCCTCGAGCACTGGTTGCGGTTTCCTC